ATATCTTTGAACAAGAGAGTATAAATATCTGTGGTGATGGAAATTTAAATGAGGTGTGAGAGGATAGACTGAACCACTTTTTGCCATTACAATGTTGTAATCTGTAAATCTGTGTGCATCTCAGAGAGTTTTGTAAGCATCAATTGCAATGAAATGAGTACCTGAAAGTAGGGCTGCACGATTAATCGAAATTAAATTGCAAAGGTGATAAATCGCGATTAGGCAGAAACTGCGATTGTCATGCGTATCTTTCAGTGAAGCACGGTTCTGTGATCAGCAGTAATCCGAAGGCCAGAGGGCGCTCTCACGCTGAAACTCCAAATACACACCACAGAAGAAATCCAGGAAATCCTGAATAAACAGAAGGTTTAACTAGGGTGACCATAGCTGCATCCCAATTCGTAGGCTACGTCCTTCGAAGTACACATTTGAAGGCCGATTGCGTCATGGCAGCGCGACGAAGGCTGTCCCAATTCAAAGACTGCGTCCTACAAAGGCTGCATTTGGTGCTACAGAGGTTGAAAGTTTTGTAGCACAGGCCAAACAGTTGTAGCACAAGTTAGGGGTGGGCGATATGGCAAAAATATCATATCAGCATTTTATTCAGGAATATCACAATTCATGATTTTATCACAATTCTTTGTCATGTTGGTTTTACTATTTTGCAAGTTGCCTGAGCAGTACAGCCAATCTAATTTCTCTATTGTAAAAAAAAAAAAAGCCTTTTAAGGTAACAAAATATAAGATAAAAAAGAATGGCAGACATTTAGGCCAAAGTGGGCAAAGATAAAAATCTTAGTCATTATTTTATCTTTGTTATTAGAAAATGAGAACAAAAGATGTACATTACAAAAACACATAATATGCAAATAAAACAAACAGTGCTTTATTTTTCAGGTACAGTATTTAGCAGTAACATTCCATTTGAAAATAAAACACTTTTACATTTTTTAAGCAACTGTATTCAAGTCCATCAGTCATGAGCAGTGAGTGATTTTTCTCTGTTTTTTTATTAATATTAAAGGGACAGTTTACCCAAAAATGAAAAATTTGTCATCTGTCTGTCAATTCTGTCATATTGTTTTATTTTCATATCATCATTTACTCACTCTCAAGTTGTTTTAAACCTGAATTAGTTTCTTTCTTCTGTTGAACATAAAAAAATATTTTGAAGAATGTGGGTAACCAAACAGCGAATTCCAAAGTATTTTTTTCCTACTATCAAAGTCAATGTAACCAGCAACTGTTTGGTTACCCACATTCTTCGAAATATCTTTAAGTCAGCACAATAAATAAATTAATACAGGTTTGGGACAACATATGAGTGAATAAATAACAACATAAATTAAATTTTTGGGTGAACTATCCCTTTAATGACAAGCGGCAGCATGTTTAGTTCTGTCCCTTTAAGAGCTGCACACATCCGTTTCTCTCACAACTGTTTACGCTCATTTTAGACATAACTAACTGTGTTTATATGTAAACCTCGTGTGTTTTTGACAGTATTAGACGTGAAAGAAAACTTATAAATTGGGTTAAGTCTTAGGCCGTTTCTCAATACCAAGTATGCAAAGTTCGGATTGCGTCCTCGGTAGTTCGGACTTCGCAAATTCGGTCCGGTAATTCTGCAAATGGAACAGCAGAGTAGCCTACTTGATAAGGTCAGTCAGCTCGCCTTGGCTACTCCGGTTATCTTCACTGTAATACGACGAAATATGATGTCAAACACCACTGCATCTTTTCGTTTTCTTTTAAACATAGGCCTATTATAGCCGCAAAAATGTAGTTCGGGAAACGTACATTACAGTGAAACGAAATTTATCAAACAGCATTGCCTCTTTTCTGTTTAATATTATTAGCCACAAAAATGTGGTTCATGCAACGCGTACACGCATTACATTAAAATGAAATGATATCAAACACCAATGCCTTTTCGTTATATAAATATGAAACAAAAACCCTTTTCGTTTTCATTTTAAAAATATAAAACATATGTGGTTTAGGTAATGTGCACTCTGATTATCTTCACTGAATGTATAAAAAAATGAAATATGACAAGCACTGCCTTTTTTGTTAAATGTCAGTTTTAATGAACAAATTTAGCCATTATAAAAGTAGGCCCTAACTATATAAGAGACTTATGTAATAGGAAATAAGACAAAAGCAAACAATTCAGTCAAATATATTTCAAAAAGTCCGTGCTGTACGATTGATAAATAAATAATTTATGAAACATAACTTTGCTCAGCCAAAACGATATGACCTGGAAGAAATAGTAGATTCATGAGACCAAAGATTGCCTGTTGATTTACCCAAAATGAATTATATCTTATGTTTAAACACTACAGAGACATCAGAGCCAGCGGCAAATATCAGAAGGACTAGCCGAGGTGAGGCTGCTCTCGGCGGACACATGAGCACTGAGCGCCCGGTGATCGCGTCGATCTCGACACCGAAATCGGCGGAGCAAATTTCCAAATAGGCGCTATCTTATAAATAAATCGCAGATTTGAGTTTTAAACAACTAGGCATACATTCTCGCCTGAAATACTCTTAGAATTGCATTCTTCTTCTTCTTCTTCTTCTTCTTCTTCTTCTTCTTCTTCTTCTTCTTCTTCATGTTTTATGTTTCTTCAAGTCCACGAGAACACAAGTAGGCTACAGACAAGAACGCATATTGAGAAACTGCTTTAAACCTAAGTCTAGTAAGTTAATCAGGCGCTGTTTGAAAGTACGCACGCTTCATGTGTATGCGCTCAGAAGCATGTCAGAACAGCACGTGAATTAAATGTTTAACCGGTAAGGCTTTAAAGCACATGCAAATTGTACTTTTGTGATTGCGCATAAGTGCTGTGTCCCGTGAGCGTAACTCTACCTCTGAGTTAACATCTGAAGTGAATGTATGTCGCGTTGTACAGTTTTGAGATGGAGGCACCATAATGTCACACTGTACAGCCCTGCTATCCCAGAATTCATAGCGCGTCGGTGGCGACAGGACTTTTATTAAAACAAAATAGCGGGTGATGGTTCTGTGGCTGCCGACGAATACACTTATAAATGTAAGTATTGTGTTTTAATTTGCTCGAATAGCTTGCGAAATAAATGTTAAAAGTCAGGGGTCTTAAAAAATGTGAGCAGATTCATTTGTTAGGTGGTCTGAGGCAAAAGTTCTTGTATTTATTAAATTGAGGGCTGAATTTGATCATTCCTGTACTTGGGACAAAAACTCTGCCTTAATAAGTAGACAAGTCTTTCACTTGTATTTTTATTTTATTTAAATGTTTTTTCCACTGTCCAGCACTGGGACGTTCAGGTTTATCCTGCAGTGCAGGGGTCTGGTCTGATTTAAGGAAATTAGGAAATTGTGTAGCGCTATGAAAAAGTAATTGGTGGAAGAAATATGAGTTACTTAAGTAAAGTAACTACTATTAGCACATTGAGGAAAAATGCATACATTTAAAACCTTAAGTAAAAGTATTATCCTTCTTACTGTAATGTACTTAAGGTATGAAGAGTAAAAGTAAAGTATGCATTCTGCAGAAAAAACTATGAAGGTCTTGCATTAATATTACTGCTGCACTACAGTGTACTGTATGTTGCATTTTACTTCTGAATATGTTCACGGTTGTTACATTTAAAATACTTAATATAGGCCTACTGTTGGGCAGTTTAATGTACAACAGTGCATGATATTGTAAAGGACCATGTTTTTGTATTGTAGCTATCCTGTGAGAAAAAATAAAAAACTCAGTACTTTTCATTTGTATGTGAATACTTATGGAATGTATTTCGTTACACTCCACCACTTTGTTATTTTGGAGATGAAACGAACAAAGTTTATTGCTAGAATATTAACAAACAGTTGCTACAACTGCAAACCATATCAAGGCTGCTTCCGAAGCACTCGGATATTCATAAGCTCAACAGAATCGTGTGTGATTGGTTATGAGCAACGCTGTAAAAACGCATAAAAATAAAATATGATGTAACATAACCAGGTCTAAATTTAATACAGCAATCGAAATTTCATTTTAAGTATTAAAGTTTTATTTAAAAACCAAGTATATTTTTGGGTGTTATGGGGGGTCCCTTAATGCTTATGGGAGGTCCGGGACCCCCCCAGCCCCCCTTTAATTGGAACACTGACATGAATCATGATCACATTTTCAATTCAAAACGGCGAAATTTCATAAAAAGTTGAGTTTGCATCACTAGATAGTCTATTACTGTCGGTCGCTGAACATTTCTATCGTAAAACAGTTTTCTTACATCTTTCCACGAACTCGCATTGTGTTGTAACCGTAAGACCCGCCTTCTTTGATTTGATTGGCCATCTCGATCATTTTGACACTGACGAGCGCTGTTGGACCACTGAGGCAGACCAGCCTAAAAGTTTAACTTTTAAAGCTTTTTGTCATCCTAACAACAAACAGCTTTACTCATTCTTATACACAGAGTCTTATACTGTCTATCAGCTTTGACTATTTTAGTCTTTCAAAGGACAAAATGTGTGGAAAAACAGCAATAAAAATGAGACATAAACAGTATAAAATGCAGGGAGCGAGGCCCTCTAGAGGCGCGAGGCCCTGTGCGGTCGCACACTTGGCACAGCCCTTGCGACGGTACTGCCTTTAGCTTACTCAGTAGTGCTGCATTCGTAGTTGAACCGCTTGCGCGGAAAGTTTGTGTGTCAGATGTAACAATTAGAATGTGACTTTGTGAAACGGACTGTCCTAAATTGTTGCTATAATAGTGTGATGGAATGAATATTGCTACCACAACCCCCTCTGATGGAGAATAGGAGGAACTCACTACGTCCATCACCGGCTGGTGAATGATTAACATGATTGTATCACAATAAAAGTAGAGCGTGCCAGTGGCGTAGTGAGCACTTGATTAATTTCACACACCTCACTTTTTCTGTTGTGATGCCCTTGCCTAGTGGAGTCGTGTGGTTTGTGTTTTCTATTCCAGTCCTTTCTCTGATTAAACTTAGGTATGTGGATGAATGGAATTCCATAGGTGAGAGGTGTAGTACTGGTGTGTAACCCAAGTCTGTATCCTGCAGTTCGGGTGTAGCGAGATATGTCATAGCGGGAGCTCTTTCATATCAGTCGGATTGACCCAGTGAGTATGATCTTTTTATGGGGGGCGGTTTTATATTTTAAATGTTTAAGTTTCATTGACGTTAGTGTCTGTGTGCAGGTTGAGGGGAAGTGCCTATCGGCTTATGTCCAGCGTGAAGCCGTGGAGTGGGTCAATATTTGGCAGGACGTACGGACCCAGACTGCGCTGCTGTTTTGTCTCTACGGTTTCTGCTGTGTTTATTGCCCTCATTGTCTTTATTAGATTTTCTTTCTTCTTTCTTTGTGTCAGTTGTTTGTTTGATGGTTTTGGGAATATTAAAGGGTTTATTTAGTCATTTTCTTTTCCTAACTTTTTGGGTAATAGTGATTAAGACGACTGATGTGATATACTGTCAGTGATTTACGGGGATGATTAGTCACGTACCCTAATGTTTTGCATATATCTGTAGTTTTCTTTCCTATTTTTCTTATTGTGTAATTGAATATTTGTTTTTGTATTTCTTTGTCAGTGCTGAGAGTTCTCCCTTTGGGGACCTAGAGAGAGACACCATTGTCTTTGGGGTGCAGTGTGGAACACATTTGTTTTTCATTCGTGTGGTTGCAGTGGAGAGCACTAAAGTGTGAGGGCTTGTCTGTCGGGGGGTTTAGAATTTTCTCCGTGTAAGTGCTCTCAGCGACCCAGGTGGTGCTTTCAGTTTTTTTTGTGTTTTTTTTGTTTGTTCTGCCCCCAGTTAGCATAACATACTTTAATTGGTATCCTTTTTTTTTGTTTATGGGTATTTAAAAGGCATCTGTATCGAACATGTCGCCCTGTGAATTGTGACTTCCTTGTTTTTAAACAGAAAATTATTTTTGATGTAATAAAACATTGGTGGCAACTGGCAGAAACATCTCAATCATTTCTGGGTAGACCGAACCTGTATGGCTGAGTGGTTTATATCCTGGGGTGGAAGTCCCTAGGTGGCATAGTGGGCTATTATTGCAAATTTTAGGTCAAGGTTGCGGTCTTTTCCTCGATTTATTTCTCTGCCTTACTGTCCCGCCACATTCTGGCGTAGTCGGCAGGATTGTTTACCCAGTTGAAGTTGAGATGTGTTCTGCCTGAATTCGAATTTGAGTATTGAGAGACAAAACCGCAGTAGGCTCCATCAGGTTGGGTAGGGGTGTATTGATTTCTCATTTGGCTTTTTGTTTTTTTTCAGTCATGATGGCCGAGGACTTGCAACAACTGCAGGAGCTGGTAGCCCGGTTGGAGTCAGATAGCGCACGGCTTCGCCAAGTAGCAGCGGCGGGTCCATCTAGCAGTAATGCCTTGCCCCTTAGTGTTTTCTCTTCTGGTAGTGTCCCCACCGCTGAAAGGGTGTTGTACATCCCTAGAGAAAGGTGTTGCCCCCTATTTAGTGGCAGGGGGGGTTAAGTTTACGGAAATGGGTGGAGGAAGTAGAGGTGAGTGTATGTGCCCATCTTTTAACTTCTGTTGACCGAGCCTTCTTTATGTATGATCATTTAGAGAGGGAAGCGAAGGAGGAGATAAAAAATCGGTCACGAGAGGAAAGGGAAGACCCTTTCCATTTTAGCCATTTTACAGGAACTTTATGGATGTTCTCAGTCCTATGTCACTTTACAGGAAGCGTTCTTTTGCCGAAAACAACAGGAAGGGGAGTCATTGCAGGAGTTTTCACATGCATTATTGTGTTTAATGGAAAGGGTTAAAAAGAATGCCCCCCCCATGATATGCCTAACATAGAGATTCTACTACGTGACCAATTTGTGGAGTACATTTATGACCTCCGTACCGGCTCTCCGTAGAGAACTCAAGCGTTTTGTTCGTGAAAAACCAGACTCTAATCTGTTGGATGTTCGTAGGGAGGCTATTAGGTGGGAGCGTGAGGGAGCGTCAGTGGGTAGTTGGGACCGTAGCCAGTCAGTATCCTTAGCATATGGGTTCCAGTGTGGGGTTCAGGGAAATTTATCAACTGCTGGTGTTGCGTCTAGCTCAGAACTCGCTGAGTTAAAGGAGATTTTGAAACAGCAGCAATGACAATTAGATCAGCTTACCCAGAATTTTGCGACATTACAGTGCCAGCGTAGTCAGGGCTCTTCCCATCATGGGGGTTCAGTTATCCGTAGGCGATGTCAGAAATCTGGCCATTATGCCAGAGAGTGTGATGGGGAGAGGGTCACACCTCAGTCCCAGTCATCCTTGGGTGTGCCTCCTCGAGGAGGTGCTCCTAGTCCTTTGGCTCGGCAGTCGGAAAACTCATACCCACCGAGCTGTTGAGCCACAGTTCGGATGGGGGTATGTTGTGCTCGGTGGGTAGTGCAGAAGTCGAATCTATGCCTCAGTTGATGTCATCTTGTCCCCACGTTGATGTAATTGTGGGGGGTGTTCGGGTGTCATGTTTGGTGGACACCGGATCGATGGTGTCCACTATAACAGAGTTTTTTCTCAGAGTACTTTGTAGCTTTAGGTCCGGCGTGGTTACAGTCCTGCCATTGGTTACAGCTTCAGGCTGCTAATGGTCAAGCTATACTGTATGTGGGGTATATAGAAGTGGATGTGGAGCTTTGTGGAAAGGTAATGCTTGGACGGGGAGTGTTAGTGGTCAAAGACCCTCCAGGGAGTAGTACCAGAGTTCCAGGGGTGTTAGGAATGAATGTTCTTAAAGAATGTTATGCAGAGTTATTTGGGGAGTATGGGTCTGCATTATTTGATGTTCCCTCGGTGACACGGGCCCCAAGCCCGTTCGTCAAGCCCTGCAACAGTGCCATTGGGCTAAGGTAGAGCCTGCAGTAGATTTTCTAGGGCAGGTGAGAGTGCAGGGATGAAGAGTTTGCCGAGTTCCTGGTGGTACCATGAAGTTGTTGCCCGCTACTTGTTCTGTCCAGTATGCCAGACATCCTGTTTTGTTTGAGCCCCCAGGTACTGGGCTACCAGCAGGGTTGTTGGCCTCTCCATCGCTGATTGCAGTAACCCGCAGTACAGTATACATCCCAGTAGTTAATGTAGGGTCGGAAGACGTTGTATTATGTCCTCATACTGTAATTGCCCTTACCCCGATAAGTGTAGTTAGTCTACCCGCAGAGGTTAAGGAGATTAGGACTGCTACTGCAACGATGTTTTCTCTTGAAGCCTCTGTTGTCCAGGATAAGATCAAGGCCTTGGATTTGTTCCCCCTTTCCGAAAAAGATCAGAGTGATGTACAATTGCTCTTGAATAAATATAGCTCTGTTTTTTCCTCCAGCGATACGGACTTGGGTTGTACTACATTGATTTCTCACAATATTTCTTTGGTAGATGAGACTCCAGTTAGGCAGAGGTATTGCCGTATTCTCCCTTCAGAATATGAGACTGTTAAGGCCCACATTAACCAGTTGTTAAAGGCACAAATTATCCGGGAAAGTAGTAGCCCCTATGCCTCCCCTATTGTGTTAGTAAAGAAGGATGGCAGCCTCAGATTGTGTGTGGACTGCCGTCAGTTGAATGGGAAGATGAGGAAAGATGCTTTCCCCCACCAAGAATCGAAGAGTCTCTTGATGCTCTCTCTGGTGCCCAATGGTTCACAACAATGGACTTGGCAAGCGGGTACAATCAGGTTCCAATCACTGAAAAGGATAAACCAAAAACGGCATTCTGTGCCCCATTTGGCCTTTTCGAGTGGAATCGTATGGCCTTCGGCCTGTGCAACGCGCCAAGTACATTTCAAAGGCTAATGGAGAGGATCTTTGGGGGCCAGCATTGCCAGTCTCTGTTATTGTACTTGGACGATGTCATCGTGTTTTCTCCCTCTGTTGCAGAACAACTAGAGCGGCTGGAGATTGTGCTGGCACGGCTGAAACAAGAAGGCATCAAAGCCAAGTTGGAAAAGTGTTCATTCTTCAAACAGGAGGTATGTTATTTGGGGCATGTGATATCAAAGGCGGGTGTTTCAACTGATCGGGAGAAAATCCAGGCTGTGGCAGAATGGAGAAGGCCTGCACATGTCTCTGAGCTAAGGTCTTTCCTTGGCTTCGCAAGTTACTATCGATGATTTGTGGAGGGTTTTGCGGCACTGGCAGCCCCGCTGCATCGGCTGGTGGCTGAACTGGTGGGCTCAAAGAAGAGGAAGTTGTCTGGAAAGAGCCTCCCCACAGTATGGACTGAGGAGTGCGAGAACAGCTTTGAAAATCTCAAAAGGAAGCTTAGTACTGCACCAGTTTTGGTCTATGCAAATATTTCTCTACCCTTCATTTTAGAAGTGGATGCTAGCCATCAAGGGCTGGGGGCTGTTCTCTCAAGTGCCTTGTGTACACTGATAACAACCCTTTAAGCCACCTTGCCACCGCAAAATTGGGTACTACCGAGCAGCGGTGGGTCGCAGAACTGGCTGCGTTTGATTATGTTATCAAGTACAGGTCTAGCAAGGTTAACCAAAATGCAGACGGTCTTTCGCGACAGTATGTGGGGCCTACAGAAGAGGGGATGGAGGAGAACTGCCAAGAGCCATTGTCCTTGCCCCAAGTTTCTTTGGAGCCAGCCTCGCAGGTAATGCAAGCAGCTATTTCTGTCTTGCCCTGTTATGCCCCTGCTAGCTTGTGTGCCCTGCTTGCGGAGGATCCTGCGATCAAGGAGGTGTTAGCTTTCTGGAAGAACCAGTGCCATCCGACCCCTGAGGAGAGGTGGATGCTTGCAAGGCCAGTGTTATCATTACTGCGACAGTGGGACCGTCTTGTGGAGCAGGAGGGAGTGCGCTATCGTTGCATTCTACATCCTGATGGGGGCGAGGAGGTTCTGCAGTTGGTTCTCCCCATGTCATTGAAGAGAGAAGTGCTCACTCAGTTGCGTCAGGGGCATGGGCACCAGGGCATGGAGCGAACACTAGAGCTGGTCCGCAGACGGTGTTACTGGCCCGGCATGTTATCTGAGGTGGAGCGCTGGTGCCAAGAGTGTGACAGATGCCAGGTGTCAATTCTCAGTCAGTGGTGCGTACTTTTATGGATCATCTCCTTGCATTACGGCCAAATGAGATATTGGCTATGGACTTTACCCTCAGCCAGCTCAGAATGGTATGAAAAATGTTCTTATCATGACTGATGTGTTCTCGAAATTCACCCAGGCCATCCCTACCCAGGATCAACGTGCCTCTACAGTGGCTCAAGTTCTGGTTACGGAGTGGTTCTATAAATTCAGAGTGCCAAGTCAGCTGCACTCGGACCAGGGACGGAGTTTCGAGAGCTCTCTGATTCAGCAATTGTGTGGCCTATATGGCGTGGTCAAGTCACGAACTACTCCATATCATCCTGCTGGCAATGGGCAGTGTGAACGGTTTAATCGTACTCTGCACAACCTTCTGCGAACACTGCCTGCAATGAGGAAGAGGGATTGGACCACTTGCCTCCCCCAGTTGTTGTTTTGTTACAATACGACCCCCCATCAGTCCACGGGTGATTCC